GTCTGTTTTTGAGGCTTGTTTATGTGTCTTCTCCTTTCCACGGTGAGGGGGTGCTTCTGGCACCTGCACGGCTCACCTTCTCTGCCCTAGGAGCTTGGGATGGCAGCACGGGAACTTCCTTCCATGTGCTGGGACCAGCTCAGCTTCTGTAACTTCTTTATTTAATGCATGTACATGTAATAGGACAGCCTCAGTCTCTAGCCAGTGCCTGGAGGGCAGGTGCTTAATGTCTTTCTACAGCAGACCTTTGGCGGCACGAGAAAGCAGGTGTGTCTGAGAGGAGGCAATGGTTGGAGTTGCTTTACTAGGACCTGGAAAGTGTGGAGTTTGAATGACCATGAACATAAGCTGCAGCCAAGAGAAAACTCTGGGGGTATTTGATTCCTCTATCTCTTGGCCCCTGCCACCCAAGGCCCTCCAGGACTGTAATGCCCAGATGACACTGCATGAAGACATTAGGACTGTGAGAGTCCTTTGGCTGTCACAGGGGAATGGATTTAAGTGAAGGCCAAAAGTGAGAGTTCTCACATGCTTTTGTCCAACACAGAGAGATGGTAGGTGGTATGCAGGGATATCTGCATGGTTTTGCTTTTCTGGCTGGTTCATGACTGATACACCATCTGCTGATATGTTTATCATCTGTTTTCTCTGCCTACACTGGCATGTAAGCTCCACCATGGCAGAGACATTGCTTTGTTTATTGTCTTGTCCTCTACAGTCAGAATAGTGCCCAGCATACACCAGACACTCAATAAATACTTGCTGAAAGAGTAATGGCCTCAGGTTCTGAAATAATAGGACACTCCCAGCAACCAGGGGACAGGTGGGAACAGGTGGGAGCTTCTTCAGGGAAAGCAATGGTTACATGGGGCAAAGGAGATGAAAGAAAGGTCTGACGTTTATTTGTACTGGGAATTAGCCATTGCAACACAGAACGATGAGGTGCTCAGCCAGTCTTCTTTCCTTGATGTCTCAAGGGCAGTGAGTGACAGCCAAGCCCAACCATGATCCTCTGGCCACTGTGCCAGATCACACTTCTGTATGGGACAGCACAGAACCCATGAGTGTGGAATAGAGTCCTGGGGGTGCAGTGCAGTTCAGATTCTTCCTTTGTAGTTGGGGGAAAAACACAGCTTGCATTTGAAATTGAAGTTTGAAATCACATTGTCCCAGAATTTACACTTGATCTTAGCCAAAAGACCAAGAAGCAATGTCCCAGAATTTATAATGCGAAGTCTACATTAATATTCCTGTAGCCTTTGATGTCCTTAAACTTGTTGCTTCTTAGGTTAGCCTGGATCTGCCTTGGGCCACTCTTGAAGGGGACAGTCTTCAGAGTGATGGTGGCTCTGTGGTGGGGTTTGAGGACTCCAATGCTGCAGCAGAGAGTGGAGAGTGTCAGAAAACCCCACAGGCGCTATGACAGCCCTGAAGCACTTTTCCACTCTAATTCCTATCTCTCCCTTCTCCAGTGTCCTGAGCCTGGCCCATTAGCCTATGTCCAGAAATAAATGGTGCTAACCCAGAACAAAAGGGCAGAGAAGGCTAAGCACTTCCAGCACTTACAGGACTCTCTGCTGCTTCTTAAAGAGGCCACTTCCTTCCAAGGTCAGCACACAGTCCTCAACAGGCTCTGAGAGGGGGTTTGAAAATATCACTTGTATGGAGAGAGGCTGGTTCACGGTAGCTGCTCCTAAAACCTAAATAAAGACCCACCACAGGGAAGGAGTAGGAAATTAATCCTTATTCCCCACTCCATCAAACATTTATGGACAGCAGTGTTTTGAGAGCTTGTTTGGAGGTTCTAGAAGGGGAGAGCAGCTACTCATATATATACCCTTGACTGAGGAAATGGAAGGAGACACCCACGTAGCCAGACAGATCAGCTGAATCAAACCTGGCGATCAGTGGGGTGACATGTCGCCGCCAGATCATCCTCACATCCAGGACAGCATTGTTTTGTAATTGTGGCAGAATGTGCTACTCCCAAACATGCCACTTTGGCATCAGGATTATTTTTAATTGAAGGCAGTGAGATGAGTAGACATAAGAAACGATCTCTGGCTTCCTGCTATGGTTTGGATCTAAAATGTCCTCACAAAGTCTCATGTGTTTGGAAGGTGCCTGGATCATGAGGGTGTTGTACTCATAGGTGGATTCATCCATTGATGAGTTCAGTAGCTGAATGTTCTGTTAGGAGGTGGGGCCTGGTTTGAAGTGGATCACTGGGGGTGTGACCTTGAAGGGTATATTCTTGTCTCTGACTCCTCCCTTCTCTCTCTGCTTCCTGGTTGTCATGAGATGAGCAACTTTCCTCCACCATGACCTTTCACCATGCCATTTATACCTTGGAGCCAGGCAACCATGGACTGAACCCACTGAAACTGTGAGACAAATACATCTCTCCTCCTTTAAGTTGCAGATGTTGAGTATTTTGTCCCAGTGATGGGACAGTGACTAATAACAAATTTTGATGGGACACAATTCCTGAAACCTGTAATTTAAAGGAGGAGTTTATTTTGGCTCAAAGCTTTCAGAGGATTCAGTCCATGATAAGTTGACTCCAAGGCAGAAACACGTGGTGAAAGGGCATGGTGAAGAGAAGCTGTTCATCACCATGGAAGCCAGGAAGCAGAGAGAGAGAAGGGAGGAGTCAGAAACAAGATACACTCACCCAGGTCATGCCCCCATTGACCTACCCCAACAAAGCCCCACTTTCTGGCAGCATTGAACTTAATCAATGGATGAATCCACTGATGAATATAGCACCCTCACGATCCAAACACCTGAGACTTTTAAAGGGGGGATATTTTATTTTATTTTTTATTTTTTGGTACCAGGGATCGAACTCAGATCCTTGTGTTTGCGAAGCAGGCAGTGGAACCCCTGAGCTAAATCCCTGGTCCAAGGGGGGACATTTTAGATCCAACCATAATACCTCCTTCTACCTAAAAGCAGTACACATATTTGCAAAGGGATTTCCCCTCCTCTTTCTACTAGGAAGGACAAAATTTAATCACTGAGATAACTTCAAACCCTTATTGGTCTGGAGAGACTGCAGAGGAATCTGTTAATCACCTTTTATGAAGTAGCTCCCTCCCCTACTGTGAGATCTCCTTATATTTGTCTCCTCACAATTTGCTGTCTCTAGAGACTCAAGGTACATTTCCTTTGTCTTATCATTTCTCTAAAAATTTCTTGCTCTTTGTTAAAATGCTATAAGCTCAAATTATTATCATTATTTTTGGTACTAGGGATCAATCCCAAGGCCTTGTTAATACTAGGCAGGTGCTCTGTCATTGAGTTACTTCTCAGATCTTTTTATTTTTTATTTTGAGGTAGGGTCTCACTAAGTTGTCCTGGCTGGCCTTGAACTTATGAATCTCCTGCCTCAGCCTCCTGAGTAGCTGGATTACAGGTGTGCACCAGCACACTCAGCCATGAGCCCAACCACTAATCAAACCTTTGTGTTGCCCCACCAGGGACTCCTTGAGCTCTTTTGGTGGGATCCAGGAGACACTTGGCCTTGGGAATTCAACCCTGGAAGGAAGTAACCTTGAACATCTTCTCACTCAGGAGACCAAAGGACTTCAGACAGGGAGGAGTCCTCAGAGCCCACAAGTTCTACTTCTCTCTTTTGACAGTTCAAGAAGCAGTGGAGAAAGAAATGAAATCTTGCACAGGCAGGAGAAAGGAATGAAATCTGAGCTGACCTTGAGACAAGTGGCTTCCTCCATTGGAGCCCCTCCCACCAGGGCTCAGTTTCCACAGGCTGACCTTGGGAAGGCCAAAGGCAGGAGGTGGCCTGAGAGAGGATCTCTCTGCTAGCCCATGGCTCCTGCTCTACAATTGCCCCACAAATCCTCTAGTGGCACAAGAGGATGAAGACTTCTCAATAAGACTCCTACCCTTGAGGCACCAGAAGAGGCAAAGAAAAGGAGGGGCTTTGTCCTGAGCAGGTCCAACTGCTCCTGCAGAGGGATACCCTGTCTCCCATCCCAAGCCACGGGGCACCCAGGCTACTGGCAGGGCCCTTGCCTACATTAATCGTGATGCCTGGATAAGTCAGGGTGATGATCTTGTTCACCAGGATTTTCTCAGGGCTGCTCTTCTCTTCACCCAGGGCACTGATGCGAATTAGCTTGTCTGTTGACAGGTACTGGCTGTATTGGGCGTAGGGGATTTTGCAGGGGTAGGTCCTCTCTAGGGCGAGAACAGAAGATGAGGTGAGAGGGGCCGAGAGAATCAGCTGGGACTGGGTTGCATCGGGTTGCTCTTCCCTAGAGAAGAAAGAACCACCTTGTATTGAGCACTAGCTTGTCAGACAGAGAAACTGAGGTTAACGGAGCTCGCTCAGGGACTATGCTAGTAAGCATGAGGTTCCAACCAAGGTCTAGATGACTCCAAAATGCACAGTTTTGTTTTGTTTTTTGGTACTGGGGATCGAACTCAGGACCTTGCGTTTGCAAGGCAGGTGGCGGCACCACTGAGCGAAATCCCCGGCCTCAGAATGCACATTTTTGGACTGAAGTAGGTACTATCCTTGGAGGTAGTAAAAAAGAAGAGGGGGAGAAGGAGAAAGAAGAGAAAAGAGGGGGAGAGAGGAGAGAAGGGAAGGAGGGAGGGAAGGAGGAAAGGGAGGAGGAAGAATCTGTGCTGGAGTAGATAGTTTAAAGTGTGTGTGTGTGTGTGTGTGTGGTGTCCCAGGCTCTTCCCTCAGAGCCCTGTTGGCTGTCTAGACCCAAGCCCCAGCAGTAACAACCAACTCTGTGCCCAGTGTGTCCCACACTTTATCTAGAGCCCATACCTTCTTCAGGAGACAGGGTGATGAAAGCTTTGTCCTGCCAGAAAGTGGGTAGGGGGCTGCCATCATGCAGCAGTGACTGAGCGCTCAGGTTCACTCTGAGATCCTTGAACTGGGATGACATGTTGAGAGCCATCAGGACAAAGTTTATGTCCTGGCCCATGTTGGGTGGGTCAAGTAGCTCGAATTTCAGAGAAACTTGGACAACATCACTAGGTCGAAGGGAAGGTGTATCCAGGCTCCGAGGGCTGTCCCAGCTCCGTGACAAGGGCCTGGAGGGTTGTGAGTCAGCTCGGAGGGTACCATGGGACCTCTCAGACTTCAGCTTCTGTAGGGCTTTCTGAAACACGAGCCTCTCTTGGGGTGAACCTAGGTGGGTAGAACACATTATTCCCTGTAGGCCATGATGACCCAAAGGTTACCTCTTGGCTGAACACTGCACCCTCACCACCTCTCCTGGCCTTGTGGGAGTCGAAAGGCTTAAACTTTCATTTCTAAGAAGTATTACCTCCCATCATCAAGTGCTTTCCAAGAGTCAGGTTCTGCTGAGCATTTTGCATCTTTCCATCCTCATATCAACTTCCAGAAAGATTATTATTATATACATGAGGAAAAGTAGGCTCAGACCAGTTTGTCCTTGTCTATGTCATGCAACTTGCAAGGAGAGAGTCAGGTGGAAACCAAATCTGCCTTAACTTCAAAATCTGTGCTTGTGACTCAGTCCCGACATCTTGAAGGGAAAGACAAAACCCAAAAATGTGGAAGATAAACCTCTTAAAGATACTAGAGGGAGGCACAGTAAGATGGTGGATGATTGTCTCCAGTGATCATCTTCCCCAGAGACACCAAGACACCAAGTTGAAGAGCATTCACACACCAACTACCTTCGTGAGAGCTAAAGGAATCAGGTGAGAGACCATAGAGGCTGTGAAAAGATGTATGAAAGAAGGCAAGAAGGAAAGAGTTATCTACTACTTCACACCTCTTCCAACTCAAGCAGCCCAGCTTGGAGGGATATACCTTCTGTTTGAAGGAGGGAGATCGAATTAAGTTTAAGCTCTAGACTTGAAAGCTAGCACTAGGCCTGCCACGTGAAACTCAGTGTTTGCTGGAGCCCACAACCCTTACCGCCAGGCCAATACCGGTAGGAACTGCATTAGGCAAGCAGCTCGTTGCTACCTCTCTCATCCCGTCTCCAGTGGAAGGAGAGCATTTGGCAGAGTGGGGAGCAGAACTCCACCCACCGGAAGGCAGGGCATCACAGCTAGCACAGGGCTCTATCTTGGAGCTCAGGGCCAGGATAACTGGTGACACCCACCCCTCAGTAAGAACTGAAGGCCCTGTCTGCAGGCCAGAGCTCACAGAGCCTCTAGACAGGCCTGGGATCAGGCAGAGACTAAGTGCCGGTGGATTTTGGCTAATATCATTTCCAACCTTGGGACCCAGGTAACACCCAGCCTCATACCAAGACCAAGACTGTACAGGCTTCTGCAGCTGTGAGACTCAGGTAGAGTCAGCGTAGGGTCAGTTTAGATGGCCCAGGGGACTGCCTTCATCAATGCTAATCCAAAATTGGGCAGCTTAGGGTGGCATAAGACCTCATTTGCTGAAGGAATGACAGGATAAGGGCAAGACTTTGCCCTGGAACTCAGTACTGAGCTGGTGAAACCTAACACTAGGCAGATCCTAGTGGCTCACATCCTCAGGCCTGCCAGAAACAAGGCCTCTGGAACAGCTCCAGGGCTAGGGGAAGACACATGGCCCCAATCTATCAAACTTCTGTTGCAGCCAGTGTCACCTGTGGATGGTCACAGAAGTCTTGAGCCATGAGTCCACCTCAGGAACTGGCAGCCCTTGGTAGTATAATCCTTGGTCCTGTCCCAGTGTGGTGCTACTCCTAGTGGGCTGTGAATCTTACCACATGCTGGTAAATATGGAAGAGGCATCTGGGCTAACCCTGGCCCCAAGGAGAAGAATTTGGTGACAGACTGCTGTTTTTAGGTACTCTCTTAGTTCTTTCTGAATAACACACTAACAGTGTATTTGGGACAATCCTGGGCTTGGATTGCTCTCTAGAACTGAAACAGTGAAAACACACCAACAATGTTGCATGCCAACAAGCATCAAGAGCTTTCGGGAAATCAGACCTTACCTAATAAGGTGTCAGAAATAGACCAGACAGGAATCAGTGTGGGAGAAGTCTCAGAATTTAATACAGCTGTCTTGAGGAAACTCAATGAAATTGAAGAAAGCACAGAGAAATGTTTCAATACTCCAACAGAGAGATTTAACAAAGAAATGGCAGCAATTCTTAAAAAAAAAGTCAAACAAATTTTTGAGGTGAAAAATACACTTGGCAAAATTAAAACTGCAATAGAAGGCATAGCTAGAAGAATAGATTAAACAGAAGAATGAATTAGTGAACTCAAAGACAAGGTGTTTGAAAATACACAATGGGAGGAGGAAAAAAAGAATAAAGTACAATGAAGAGGGCTTAGGGCCGGGGATTTAGTTCAGTGGTTTCACCGCCTGCCTCGAAAGCAGAAGGACCCAAGTTTGATCCCTGGTACCAAAAAAAAAAAAAAAAAAGATTAATAATGCCAAAAAGGTAGAAAGCTTTTTTTTTGGTACCAGGGATCAAACTTGGGACCTTGCACTTGCGAGGCAGGCACCAGAACGACTGAGCTAAATCCCTGGCCCGAAAGCTTATTTTTAAAATCATAAAATTTCTCAAACTCAACATCACCAGTCAAATTTAACTCAACAATGTCTACCCCAAGACATCTTATAATCAAGCTCTCACAGGTGAAAGATAAAGAGAAAATTCTCAAGCCTGCAAGAGAAAAGCAACAAATAACACGCGGTGGGGGGGGGGGGTCATCTCTTCTGACAGCAGACTTTTCAGCAAAACTCTTTTGGGCCAGACAGAGTGGCATGAAATTTTCACAGTACTGAAGGAGAAATGCTGTCAACTAAGAATACTGTATCCAGCAAAGCTATCCTTTAAACAAAAGAAGAATAAAGACATTACTAGACAAACAAAAACTCAGCGAATGCATCTCCAACAGACCTGTTCTACAAGATGTTAAAGGAAGTTCCTCAAACTGTAAGAAAGAGATATTAATGAGTAAGAAGAAAATAGGAAAAGGTATAAATCTCGCTGGTAAAAGTAATTATACAAATTCAGAATGCACTCATATTGTAAGCATTGTGTGTAAACCATTAGTAATCTTCAGTATGAAGACTGTAAAACAAAATTAAATAACAAAAACTACATTAATGTGTTGAGATGTATAATATAAAAAGATGTAAAATGGGCTATCAAAGTTTAAAATGTGGGGAGAATTGGCGTGCGAGTGTAGAGTTCTCTTATTAGTATATTTTCTCTTGTTCCTTTGGGCTTGTTCTTTATAATTATGTTAAGCTGATATCATTTCAAAATAGTTTGTTAGCAACAAAAGTTGTTTTTTCTAAGCCTCATGATAGGCATGAAACAGAATCTATAATAGACAAGCCAAACATAATAAGGAATCAAAACACACTAATACAATAAATCACTTACCACAAAGGAAGACTGTAAGAGACAGAGAAAGAAACTACAACAAAACTATAAAACAAGTTACATGATGTCTATAGTAAGACCTTACATATCAGTAATTACCCTAAATGTAAATGGATTAAATTATCCAATTAAAAGACCTAAGTGAGTGGGTAGATTAAAAAAACAACCTGAGTTTGATCCCCGGTACAAAAAAACAAAAACAAGAAAATAGTTATATGTTACAGTAAATTCACTTCATGTTTAAAGACACACATAGACTAAAAGTGAAGGGGTGGCATAAGATATGACATGCAAATGGAGACCGAAAGCAAGCAGAGATCACCATACTTAAGTCAGATAAAAAAGACTTTAAGTTAAAAGGAGTAAAAAGAGACGAGGGTTATTACATGATTAAGAAGTCAATTCAGCAAGAGGAAATAACAATATAAATACATATGTATTAAATATCAAAGCACCCAAATATGTAAAACAAAAAAATAATAGACCTCAAGGGAGAGAAAGACTCCAATACAGTAATAGCTGGGGACTTCAACACCCAACTTCGAGCCATAGTCAGATCATCCAGATAGAAAACCAAGTAAATCACAGAGTTAAACTGCACCCTGGACCAAATGGATTTAACTGAAGAACATTCCACCCAACAGCTGTTGAGTATACCTTTTCCTCATCCGAACACTGAACCTTCTCTAGGATAGAACCTATGATAAAAACAAGTCTCAACAAATTTATAGAAATGGAAATCATATTGATAATCTTTTTGACCCAGAATGTGATAAAAGTAGAAATCAGTAACCAGAAAAACTTTGGAAACTGTACAAATAGTACACGGAAATTAAACAACATGCTTTTGAGCAACCGATGGCTCAAGGAAGAAATGAAGAAAATTTAAACATTTCTCTAAGGAAATGAAAATGGAAATAAAATACAGTATACTAAAACCTATGGATATAGCAAAAGCAGTACTAAGACAGAAGTTCGTAGCAATCAATGCCCATATCAAAAAAGTAGAAAGTAGTAGTGCATCTCAAGAAACTAGAAAAACTAGAAAAAATCAACTCCAAAATTAGTAGAAGGAAAGAAATAGTAAAGATGAGTAGAAATAAATGAAATAAAGAGTAAAACAACAAAAAACAAGGAACGATTAAACAAAGAGCTGGTTCTTTGAAAAGGTGAACAAAACAGACAAACCTTTAGCCAATCCAAGTAAGAAAAATAGAGCGAGAGAGAACTCAAATCAAATCACAGATGAAAAGGGAGACATTACAACTGAAATACAAAGATATCACTAGAGATTATCATGAGAAACTATACGGCAACAAATTTGACAACCTGGAAGTATCCAAATTCCTAGACGTGAGTTACCAAAACTGAATCACGGAGCAATAGAAAACCTGAACAAATCAGTATCAAGTAACAAGACTGAATCAGTAATAAAGACCTCCGAATAAAGAAAAGCCAAGGACTTTATCTAACTTCACTGCCAAATTCTATCAAACATAATGTGACAGCCAACCTGACTCCGTTTGTATACTGTCGAGTGGTTCCAGGTGGCTGCCTTCCCTTTCCTCCCCCTCTTGGGAGCCCCTCAATTAATGCATATGGCTGCATCCTGTGTGAGCCTGCAACTATATGTTATCTTTGTGACCTTTTGGTAGAGCAATCTGCAGCTACGTTATCTTTACAACCTTGTAAACAGGATATTTGCACCTGTGTGATGTTTTGTTTCAACTAAACTGTGTGAAACTTCCCCTGATCTCGGCTAATTTAGCAAACTTCTGATCCTGTGAAATTCCCCTTGGGCTCCCCC